TTTTTGCTCTGTGTTTAAGAAGTTTTTAACTGTTTAAATGTGGCAGTGATTAATGACATGTGAAACTCAAGGAAATATTGTAATTTCATTATTTTTTTAGCTCTGCGTTCCACTCGTTTCCAACTTTGAATGATTCAAAGAATTCTTTAAGGAATTATAAACGAGTGATAAACTCTTAATTCTACAAAGAATTTATAGAATTAGCACTGTATGTACTTTTTACTAATATCACTGAACCATCCAGTTTGCAAATATATCAACGCTCAAATAACTTCGGTAATGTCTCCAATTGATATCTACATACCTTTCAAAGTTTTGGGAATATTTAGTCATGAAATGAGACGAATAAGCATCTAAAGTCATAATGAATAACATTTAACTTATAAGTCTTGAACCTGAGATAATAAATATGTAGTATTAAAAATTAAAACCATAATAAACTCGGCAATGTAATTAGAATAAACACCTTTGCTGAATTTAATTGGTAACGGTATCGGACAGTTAGAATATCTCTGCTGTCAATATAAAATATCTAATTCATTACATATAATTAATCAAACATTATATTTAGATTTACTCCAAAGGGGAATACAGTGTTTCCATAACTAAATAGTTCTTCATATCTTGTCCATATATTACCAGTTCTTTACTATTTGCCGTTAAGACTTCTAGATGCCAATATAGTCAGCCAACATAACCCCGGGCTGTTCTTACTTGTAAATCATAGCTTTCGTGATGATATTGTGTTAGATATCCTCCCAATATATTATTTTATTTTGATCAGAAAACGTTCACCATAATTACTAGAAATGTCATTTCTCCGCTAAAAAGAATATAACTGACTTCCTCGGAATATAGTAAGTAACATGCTATAGCTTAACCATCTTACGATATCGCTGATTTCTCCGGAAAACTGATATGCTACAATTTAATAATCTTACGATATATTTGACTTCCTAGGAGCAGTAACTTTATATCTACAACTTAACCATCTTAAGATATACTTGACTTCCTCGGAACAGTAACTTTATATCTACAACTCAACCATCTTAAGATATAGTTGACTTCCTTGGAACAGTAACTTGTTATAACTTAACCATCTTAAGATATACTTAACTTCTTCGGAACAGTAACTTACTATAACCTAACTATCTTAATATGCTGTATTGATTGGTGTTAAAGCCCTGAAAACAAACTGAA